ATGGATGGATGGATGGATGGATAGATGAGTTATTTTTGTGTTGATAAGTCTGAGTGGTCTGTTGACTGACAGTTGTATTTGTTCAAATAATTGTTATGGGCAGGTTACAATATAAAAAAAATGTTTGTCATAATCATGTTTTGTGATTACTTGACAGGGGTTTTACTTTTAAAATGTAAGTGTATTTAATTTAGTTATAATGCAAATACAATACAAATTAAACCAAGATTTAAAATAATTATAATTTTGATCTGTATAGTAATGTGTGACTGGGCCTCGTGTCACTTTATGTTGAACAAATTAGGCCCTGAGGTCAAAAAGGTTAAGAACTCCTGAATTAGCGCAAATATGGTGAAGAAGCATAATGAACTGTGAGCACTCGCTGCCACCAGGTGGCACATATGGTCCATCAGGATGAACAAAAGCAGCATGAAGAACTGGGAGGAGGGGATGGGGGGTGATTATTGGCTTACCCTTCTTGGGCGAGCTCTGTGGGGAGGTGGGAGGGGAGGAGAGCTGGGAGGAGGCATTGGACACGGTGTCCTCTGGCTGTCTTCGGTGTCTGTCGGTCCCCTCCTCAGACAGAGACAGGATCTTTTTCAGAGACTGAGGCGAACTCGTTCCTGTGGATGTTTGGAGGAAAACAAGCAAACAAAAAAAAGTCATTATTATGAGGAGCACGTCTGTTTCCCAGAGGGGCGACGGAGCTGCTTTGTCTGCGATTTTCTGCTCGTCGTCAGATAACCTCTAGGTGGCAGCACGGTTGCAAAAATGCTCAACAGAGCAGCTCTGCAGTTTGCTAATAGAAATGTTGCAACATTATAAAAAGAGCCAAGGTTAACTTTAAATAAATTACATCCACCAGCAGAGGAAATGTCACATTGGTAATTTTGGATCAAGAAGAATTATTTTTTATTCATACAGAAGACTTAAAAGTAATATTTCACCAACCTAAACACTCTGGGATTACGCTTTAAGTTCTTGCTCTTACCAAAAGGTGGCAGGTCCTTGACTGGGACTCTCTTCCGGGATGGGTAGAGGGCCACAGCGGGGACCTGCAGGGCCTGGTTGCCTTTGGCCAGCTGGCCTCTTTGCTGATTAGCAGCTCTGGACACAACCGGAGAAGTGTCCGGTCGTTTCCCACCGGCGTTCTTGGGCACTGGGTCGCACAGAAAGAAGGCGTTAATTCAGGTTCTGTGTTAGGATTTAAAGGTCGGGGTGAAATATGAGACACAAAGATTTTAACAGCAGACATAAACATGCAGTTTAAAAATATATTTGTTGGAATTCAGAGTCTCGTACTACTGCATCAGGTTTGGGAATAAAGCAACTGAACAGACACCTCTGTTATTTTTTTAATTCTTGAAAATCTGTCTTTTGCTTGTGACTCTTAGAAAACTGAGTCTTAGAAGAAATAGGCACTGCACACCTGAGTGCTTAGAATTACATATTATTAGGAATGCACAAATATAATACTAGAACATATGTGTACATGTATTTGTACTTATAAAATATGACAGAGTTATTTTAATTCCTTTTCATTTTAATGGAAAACATGTTCAAAATACATGCTTTCAACATACAAATCACTTTTTAGCTTGTACTAAATTCGTAAGAAGTGGGATGGCACTTCTTATTTTATTAGTAATCTGTATTGCCCAGGACTCTAATTTAAGTACTTGTACTTGGTTTTAAATAATGTGTCACTTAGAGCTGCACAATATATCACAAATATATTGTCATGATGGTGTGGGGGACATGGCTTAAACTGTATTGTTTTTGTAAATGTAATGTATTCATGTTCGGGGTCCCTATAAGTAATGTTGTGCACATGTAACCTAACCTAAAATATCTTGCAAATCTTGTGAAATTTTGTAAATAAATAAATAAATCGCAATATCAGTGCGCGTAATATTCATATCTCAAAGGACTGCTTGGAAAGCAATAATTGTTGAAATGTATTTCAAGAATTTWGAAGTTGTATTTTTCATGCTAACGCAATATTTAGCCAGTAGGACAGAATCTCACAGCAGCAAAAGCTCACATTAGTTGTGTTTCCATTGACCATGAAAATGCGCAAATTAGAATTTCGAAAATAAATTTGCTCAATGAAAACACATCAATTTCGAAAAAAATTACGTTTTCGACAAAATGGTTTTGCGCGAGGATGAGGTGGTTTTTCGGCCGTATCGAAATTGATGTATTTCGCAAAACTGCAATGGAAACACTTTTGTCGCATCACGGGAGTCACGTGATCAACAACCGGCTGTTTCTACTGGTGAAAAGATGACGACGAAGAAGATAACAGGAAGTAGAAGTAAAATCACCAACTACAATCTCCCAAAACACAGCATACGTAGCCGCTCCCAAGTAGGGGCTTGTCGCTCGAAAGTCTCAATAAGACGCCTCTGATGATGAGCGCTAGTGTCGTGGTAGCAATATGCTATGTGTTTACATCCTTTGCCGCCATGTTTGTAATGACTTATCGTGAGAACAAGCGTATTCACGCGTGACTTTAATAGCGTTTCTTACTTAATGGAAACACTGCAATTGCGAAAGACATTAACAGAATATCGAGAAGGTTTTGCGCACATTTGCAATGGAAACGCAGCTAATGACACAAACAACCTTATTAAAAAGGCTAAAGTTCATGTAGCGTAAAGGAAGTACASATTAGAAAAAAAGGAAAGAAAAAAAATACACCTGACCGGCAATATTTACAAATATTATCATCGCAAGCTTTTCTAAAATCGTGCAGCCCTAGTGTCACTGCATCCCACATAAGACACACAGAAGCATAACTGCACCGGTGCAGCTGTGTCCCACTCTTACATGTACTGATGGAGGGTTCGCACTGCAGCGACAGCGTCTGCAGGCTCTCCTCGTTCGTCTCCAGGCTCAGGTTGGACAGGTACTGTTTGACCTTCCGGGCCATCTGGGCGTCCTCGTAAAGCTTCTTGGCGTTGAGGAAGGAGCTGCGTCGCACCCGCTTCTTGTGCCCGCCCGTCTGGCTGACGTCCAGCACGGCTGCGTTGGCGCTGCCCTGACTTAGAGACCTGGTTGTGTCCACATGAAAAAAAACAAAACAAAACAAAACAAAAGAAAAAGGATAATTAACAAATTGCTTCAAAAGTTTAGTCCTTTTATTTCAAGAGGCTAAAGCTGTGTTAAACACTAGGGGACTACAAAAGTGTTTAACTCAAACATGCAGCGAGCAGCTTTAGTTTTTTTATTCTCTAAACTCAAAAACATTCCAGACATTCCAGGCAGCAGGGGTGGGTGGGGTTGGGGGGTTGACAGCTGAATTCAAACAAGAGTAGAAAGGATGACTAGTAGCTCAGTCATAGTTTACATTTCTGTGGCTTGAGTCAGAGCTAGTAGTAAGTGTAGGCAGAGGGAAAAAATAACTTTTGCTTGAGGCTTAGGCCAAAAACGCAACATGACTAACTGGGGCTGCATTGTGGGGACATTTTTATTTATTTATTTATTTATTTTTTGGTCAGTGAKAAAAAAAGTTTCACGAAAACGGTTCAAATATTTATAACGTAATGATTTTAAAATACCTTTTAAGTTTGCAGGGATACCACACTTATGAGACTCAATTTTCCAGAGAAATATACTWATTTATGGCCATTTATGACTCACAAGTAAAAACAGGAACTTGTGCTTTTTTGGGGGGGGCACAGGGTGGGTGGATAAATAAAAAGAAARCTTGCTTGTTTTGCCAATGGTTTTATGGTCCTAAAGTTCTTTTTTCTATTGCAGGGTTCCTACAGCTTAATGAAAGTTATATTTAAGACTTTTTAAGACCTCTTTAAAGCCACTTGAAATGAAATTTAAGACCCAATTCACAATAAATAAAAATGCGGGGGGAAAAAACAGTTGGTGACAATTTTACCCAAACGTTTATTTTAACAGAACAACTAGCTACGAGAAAAATTCTGTAAATTATAAAAAAATAATTATAATTACATAAATGTTACCAATTATTTTAATATTTGAGACAGTTTACAATCATCCTACTTACAATGTGTTAACATTTTTAAGACTTCTGAAAGATCGATTTAAGACATTTTAAGGCTAATTAAGGCCTTATTTTTGGATGGACAAATTTAATGACTTTTAAGACTTTTTAAGGATCCGCAGGAACCCTGTTATAAGTATTACAACAATATTATTCTAGTATTATACAAAAATTTAGCAACATGATGAATATGAGCTAAAGTTTCACTTTCTTTCCAGGTCACTGACAATAACAGCCCATTTGAACACAAGAATGTAAAAAAAATTCATGCTGTCAAATGATTAATATTTTTAATCTGATTAATCCCAAAGTAGCTGTGAATTAATCAGGATTAATCTTAAATTTAATATACATTTCTATTGTATATTGATNATTGTATATTGATAGAATAAATTACTTGAGTTATTAATTAGTTTTTAATGTTTTTATTTAGAAAACAAAATTGATGCTTAGACACGATTTTCTGAATATAAAACAGGACCTAAAAATGCTCCAAACATATTTGAGTCAGTAATGAGGTTAAATCAAGAATTCAAGGATTTTTGAGGAATAAAAGATAGATACTAAGGTCACAGTTGTCAGCAAAACAAATAAATAAAATAAAAGAAGCCATAATAATACAAAAAAAACTGTACATAATGTGTTACACATGGAGTTTTTTAAAATTTATTTTATTTATTTAACTTTTATTTATCCAGATAAACTATTTGAGAACCACTTCTCATTTACAAACAGGACCTGGCATGCACAGAGTGCATTGCAATATACAAACCTACATATTCAGCCGTAGTAAAGTGATTGTAAATTTTAACTGTGATTAATCGCGATTAAAATTTTTAATCTACACCCAGCACTAAAATTAATCAATATGAGTTAATTCGATTAATTTCACAGCCCTAAAAAAATAAATAACTAAACTGTAAATATCCCTGATGAATGGGGACAGTAACAGGCAGATCAGATCTTGCCAGGTAAAAACTACATGCATTTTGTTGTATATGACAGAAGGTCACACTAATGTTAGCACAGCAGTAGTGCCAGTGTGACCTTATGTCAGCACATGTGACCTTTGTTACATCCAGTATCCTGAGGTTAGTGTCAGGCAGAATTAGTGGGAGCAACTCAAACGGTTAGTAAAAACAAGGGTTTATAAAAGAAGCAAAGCAGAATGAAGGTTGGCAGATAGTGGGATCATGAAGCAAGGACAGGGTTACCAAACTTACCCTAAACTTCTCCATTTCTTCTTCCTACAGGGCGGGTACCATGAACAGAGAAGCGTGGGGGATCGGGGGAGGCAAGAGGTTTAAAAGTAGAGAGACAAAAAAAAAAGAGGAGACAAAAAGCTTAGGACAGGAAAGACCACTGAGATCACCAAAGAGAAGCAATTTCACCACAATAAAGTCAAAAGAGAGAAAATCGAAATGCAACGCTCCACCAAGAAACGGCATTATTAAACAAAGACACACTTTCACAGAAGCTCTGAGCCCATCTTAAGCCAACAATGTGTGTAGAGAAACAGTTGCCAAAACCAACAGCTGCTCGAAGGAAAAGCGTGCCGCCGAAATTCAACTGAGTCTAATTGAACTGACTGACCCCACAGAGTTTGTTAGTGAAGTGCTGACTGGTCCTATGGGGAAGGTGAAGGGTTTATAATTAATAGAACAATCAATTTTTCCTTTAGCAAAGTCTCTTTACCTGGTCCGGAACATGAGGGCCGGGTCCATGTTGACGGACGCCATGCGACCCACGTGACGGATTTCTTTGGCGATCATCCTAAGCTTCTCAAAGTTCACCAGCCCGTCCACTTTAGAGTCATTGCCTGTAAATTCAGTCAGTAACAACATGAATTGCTAACTAGCGAAAAACCAAAACAAGTTGCAATTGAAAGCCTGTCGGAACATACAGGAACTGTTCAAACTACACCAAATACAAAAGAAAGTCCAATAACGTAACTGTAAAAATAAGCTATCTGTCAAAATAGTAATGTTAGATTAACTTATTCAGCATTTCTCATTTATCTTAAAGCTTCCCTTTAAGAAAGTTGATTCTGTTGGTTTATATTAGGGCTGTGTATTGGCAAGAATTTGATGATACGATACATATCATGACAGAAGAGTCGTGATACGATAAATCGTGATATATGGTGATAAAATCCACTATTTTTCATATGGTTGTTGCATTTGGCCACTTCAGTACCGTTCCTCTGGGACCCCTTGAGATCAGGGCGCTAGACAAATGCCTGCCCGCATTCTGTAAACATGGCGGCAACAGTCAGGAGAAAGAGCGTCCCAAAAAGGACACTTCAATTTGGCTTAAATTACGGACATTCCGGCTAATAAGGGAGTGTTGGCCACCTTAACTCAGCTTAGAAGGCAGAGTGTGTCGGTCTAATCCAGCCATCGTTGCATGATGCTAATTTTTACTCACAATGTTAATGTTTGAGCTACTGTTATACTCTGGCTCTGGAGAGAAGGAGCCACATAACTGGCTGACTGCTGCCAACTAGTGGTCGGAGGCTAAACTATAATATAAAAATGAACTGTTGGCATGAAAGTTTATATTTGAATCCTTAATTAAAAATCGATACACTATCGGGAAATGAAATATCGTTATAAGTGTTTCAATATTTTCTTACACCCCTAGTATATATATGTATCCATTTTAATTAAAACCATCAATTGTTTATTTTTATTCTTTATTTATTACAGGGACTGTGCATATTAATAACATTTCTGTAAACATGCAAGAATCAACCAGAACGCTATTTTTCACCTGCAGTCCCTAGACAGATGTTAAAAGTCACTTTAAAATATTAAATGTAAAACTACATAATTACAAAAAAACAATTACAATACACTTCAAAATACTATAATATTATCATTAATTATTGTGGCAAAATTTACTCTGTTTAAGATAAATTAATGGACTATACTGATAAAATGCCTGAAATATTTTGACTTATCTCTGCCTAACATTAGCTTTCTGTCACAATTAACAAGTCAAAAAACATAAACGTAAATGCTATCAGTGAAGGTTTCTGCCACGTACCTTCGTGTAGGAAGGTGAGGTCCTTTTTAATGACTGGAAACAGGGGGATGATCGGTGGTTGGAGGTTCTGATTGTTAAGAACATTCCTGTACTTGGCCATGTTCCTGGAAGGGTCYAAAAGGTCCTGCAGGTCCCCGAACAGCTTCTCATACTTGCTGGGCAACTTTTCCCACGTTCCCCTCAGTCTGGACACTGGAGCCAAGTTGAGACCACTGGAAAGAGAGCCACAAGTGGTCAAAAAAGATAAACAACACCATCAACATGCAGTATGGGAAATATTTCCTTTATAGCAGTATGATAGGTGATATAGAAGACTGACTGTGAGACTGCTGAACGATGTTTTGATATTACCTGATGATAGCAAACATGGAGTTGAAGTTCTTGCACTCTCGACAGTGCAGGGCGATCTTGACGAAGTGCTTGACGATCTTCATGCGCTTGAGCTGGTTGGGCTCCCGCACCACCTCCGTCGCCACCCAGAAGGTTTCGTGGTTGATGGACTCCTCGAAGCGCTTCAGGCTGACGGAGCCCACCTTCGAGCGCAGCTTGAACAGGTCGTCGATGTACTCGGTGGGCTCGATGGCGCAGAAAAGTTCAAACGCTCTCATGGAGAGCTGGGTGGCCACCTCCACGGTGCTGAGCTGCAGCAGGGAGATCTGACCTTCTCGGAGGAGGTCCTGGGCATCCTCATCTGAGCACAACGTCTCCGTCTCCATGTTGCTCTTTAGGTAGTATCTAGTGGTAGAAAATAAAGGTAACTAATCAGAACAAATTACCTTTAAATATCTGAGTGTTGGCTCATGATAACAAACTTTACCTGCCACTTAGTTGAATCCTGTCAGCTAGTTTAGAAAGCTGATCTGGTAACCGCCTCTGTTTGATGACGCCCTCTGGTGTGACGGACACCTCGCATAAAGAATAAGCCTCTGCCGCTGCAGTCAGGGCGAACTCCCTGATGGCCTGGACCACCACCTCTTTAGCCGTCGTGTCTTTCCCAATCATGATATATCGAGACTGCTGGTCCGCTTTGAAGACCCGTAACACTTGGTCTGACATATCTGAGGAAATACATTTTTATTTACGTGAGCATGCATAGTTTATTATTGGTATGATCTTGTTTGCAAATATGGGTGATTTAAATTTAAGAGATACTACTGATTTTTTTTAAGGTTGAACCTCCAAATTCAAAAGTAACAGAAAACCCCCTCGAGAGTAAAATCACACCACATTCTTTAAGATGACAACCCTARACGTTGTTTCCCACGTTTCATTGGTTTGATCAGAAAGGAAATTCAGAAAACCACACAAATCACCCGAGAAAGATTTAAGTGATTGACTTTATTATTATTGTCTGTACACAAATGTACAGCTAGCCAATAATCCCAAAAAGTGATTAAAAGAATAAGGGCAAACTTTGCAAACAGAAGCAGAATCATGGAGGGGAAATGTACTCACTCAGTATGACTGGTACTGAAAGGATAAAACAAATGATGCAATGAGGTTAATTTGTGCTGTTTTTAATAAATCATCTTCCTGTTTGCCTTGCAATAAACAGTGAATTTTCATCAGGAGTTTTACTTTTCACTAAGCTTTAGAAATAAACTAATCATTTTTTTTTTACAACTTTAAGT